TTTTTTTTTTTTTGCCAAAACGATATATAATATATATAACAGACGCACAAATGTGCAAAGATACAACTTGGAACACAGCCCAAAGCTGAATAAAATGGGAGGACAGGTCTGACGACCGCCTAGAAGCCCGACACTAGCAAATACTATAAACCAAAACAAGACACTCGAAACAACCACAGAAAACCTACAACTAAAAAGCTCCCCACATGAGAATAGAGACAGGAGTTGGTCCCCACAGTATACTAAGTTGCTCCCGCTCACACAGAGACCAACGGCCCAGACCAAAGAGACAAGACATGAAATACTCGGGTAAAGAACCCAGACCAAAAACACATTACTAACACAGACCCAAGCAACAACAGAAAAAAAAACAAAAAAAAGCCCTTCCAAAGTATCGACACCTAACCGAACCAGCGGAAACAAGACGACTGTGAATCCCGCAGCCAGATGAATCAACCCCGAAACTGCCCAAACCACTCGGTTGTCTAACGGTGTCGAACCCCTAGCCCCGAAACCACACCAGGCCACCCCGCACCACGACCACAACACCAGATTGTCTCGAATAGACAAACGAGTACCAAGGCCCCAGCCCCAACCCCATCACGCCTGGAAGTTGTCCAAAGCTACCGCATCGCCGCATCACCACTCCCTCCATCACCACTGGCAGAAGAAGAAGAATGGCCGTTACGATCCCTTCGACCCAAAAGTCGATTAGACTTCGAACAACAGCAACTCCCAATTCGCCCAACCAACAACATCGTCGGGCAATTGGGTAGCGTCCTGCCTCGAGAACCGCACGACGGTTCCATCACCGCCCAACAGAGAAGCCACCACCCAGAAGTCGCAAAAAGTTGCCGGAAAAGATGAAAACCGTCCACGACAGGCGAGCCCAACTCTATGGGAAACGGATAACGGAGCGGAGAATAAGAGGCAGGAGCCAAGCAGCCAAGGGCCAGCGACTGTCGGCAAAGCTCGATGGACACTTTGGAAGGCCGACGGCAGTGAATATGAGGGAACGAGACCTGGAGAAATTGGGGGCGAGGGTTTTTCGTTAAGAGGCGGAGAATGCTTTTTTTTTTCAATCTAATGGTTTCATTGCAATTTCTTTAATTTTTTAACTTTATCACAATTTAGTCCATGGGTGAAATAAGTAATTTATAAAAAAATGTATAAAAATACTTTTTTATTTATTTTTGTAAATATATATTATGTACTTAGGAAAAAATATTAAATAAAAAATTAAAATAGTAAAATGCACATAAAAAGTACACTCAATCGAATGCACGATAATGTTAGACGAGCTGCACATTATTGTCTATCAGAGTGCATTTTATTATTTTTAATCATCAATTATAATAATTAATTAGACAAAATAATTAAAATGATAATTCTATTTTTTTTTTATTAAATAATTTTAACTAAAATACATGTTATTGAAGTTAAAGAAACGTAATGCACATAAAAAAATATACCATCAATGACTTGCATAATAATGTTGTGAGAAATACACATTATTGACTCTGGAAATGCACATTATTAATGTCGATATTTTATATATTATATACCTTAGGCCAAATTAATTTTAAACAATAAAATATTAAATATGTTTTGTAAAATCAATAATAAATCATATCTATTATTTAGATTATTTCGATTAATCGATCGAACAAATCAATTAAATCAATTTTCATTTGGTATAGATCGACGGTTAAAAATGTCTGCGCTTCAGATGCACAATAAAGTTCGATGAATTGCACATTAATGATCATCAGATTGCATAATAAAACATCGAAATTATCCCCCCTCAAATTACCAGTTCGATATTTAATATTTTGATTTGATTAACAATTATCTATTCTTTTGCTTTTTAATCACAATTATTTCAACTCTTATGTCATCTTTATTATTAAAAATAACATAGATAACCAAATTGATCGCACGATATGAAAAATATTATTATTATTTTTCTAATTTTGTTATGTGTTGGTGCACATTAAGTTTGTACGAATTGCACATTAGTGACTACTATATTGCACAATGTCAAACAGAAACTGAATAAACTAAAATATCAGTTAAAAAGAATTTATTTTCGTTCGATTGTCTTTCTTTATTCTTATAACTCGATTATGTCGGTTCAACATCATTTTTTTTTTTTTTAATTTACATGATCGAACTAACCGGATAACCAAACTAAATAAAAGTTATTAATATCAATTTTTTTATATTTTGGTGTAACATAATATTTATTTTCAAATAAATATTAAATGAATTATTAAAATATTAATCATATTTTGGTTAATTAGAAATTTGCCACATGCACTAAATTGTAATATATTCAATTTTCTCAAATTGCAACCAAGTTCTTGTGACTTGTCAAATTCACAACATGAAGTCCCTCTTAAACAAACAGGAATCCCGTCAACCACTACATCTTAGTCGTCGCCGGCCACCGTGACTCAAGGATAGACACATTACCGGCAGCCGTCAACTGGCCCACCGGTGAATATCTAGCCTCATGAACGTACGACCGCCGTGAACGTACAGCGAGGCTGTCGGAGCTCATGAACATCTCGAGCTAGGTGTGAAGGACGGAGGTTGCGTCGGGGTAGTCGACGATGTCTAGCCGATGGAGGTGATGGGTTAAGATCTCATCGCTGCTCGTCGCGGCGAACGGCTGACTGACACCTATAAAGAATTTCATATGGAGATGCTGGCACAACTGTATTGGGACAAAGGCTAAGTTGAAGGAAAAGGGAGTGGGAGAAGATGGAGTGCGCTGCTGGTGTTGGGGACAAGTGAAGAACTTGGAGCACCTTTTGTTTAGGTGTGTAAGAGCCCAAAAAAATTAGAAGTTGGTTGGAATTCTATGGGATAGAATTGGTAGGGATGAGGTTTCTTTCAACAGTGGTGGTTGGATCTATGTAGTTTGAAGCCTACTGACTATAACAAAGATAGGATCATTCTAGCTACTTAGTTCTTATGGTGGATGTGGAAAACAAGAAATTGGTAGATTTTTAAAAAGGTTAACATGTCAGAGCTACAGCTGGTAAGAAGGCTAGGTGGGAGTAGATGGAGTTTGAAGCTACTTTTGATAATCACCTAATGAAGGAGGATCATATGCGAGGCAACTTTGCTGAATATGAGGTTGTGATGGATCAGGGAGTAGGGTGCAAGAAAGTGCAACCAGTGGTACCGAGATTATTGCAAAATAAAGGAGGTTAAGAGGTATGGCTTTCACTAGAGGACTACTTTTGGACAGGTAGCTGTCTGATGCTGAGGGAGAGATCAAACTTTCTATGGAGGAGGAGTTGCTAGAGATTAGGAGTTGGCTTCTGGAATGGACTACAAACTTTCTATGGAGGAGAAGTTGCTTGAGATTAGGAGTTGGCTTGTGAAATGGACTACTTCAGGCTGGAAAGAGGTGTTCATCTACCTTCATAATAAAGACATGCTCAAAACTCTCAATTCAAAAGATCTTCTTACTTCAGATTTATGTGTGGTGGTCGAGGACATCTTTGATAGCCAGTTGTTTTTTATAAAAAGCTAACAAGCTAACGATCTTACAGGCCTTTGGAAACTATGTTAGATTCTTGTGTTTTTAAATAGTGTAGCTTGTTTTGTTTTTTTGTTGTTGTTCTTGGTTGTTTTGTTTAGACCGTGATTGTCATGGTAGGGGAATCTTTGTTGGCTTTCTCCCGGTTGAGCCCCTTTGAGATTATTCTTAAGGAGGACTTATTGTAATCATTTGATTGTATTTCAGAGTTTAGCTTAATGAAATTTATTGTTTGAGAAATAAAAAAAACGCGCCCTTATATATGACAACTGAAATGTCAAAAAAAAAAAAAATGGGCCAGATTTCTTAACTTATTTCCACTTAATTGTAGCATGATTAATCCATCAAACAAATTAATCCAGAATACCTAACAAAGCTATTAAGATTTAAGAACCCATTATTTATAGGGATTTTTTTTTTTTAATCTCTCAAAGTATGTTATGTTTTATAGTTTGCTATACAAACTTTATGTTTTGTCAATTTGCCTCCCAATGTGATCGAAACTGACAATTTGCCTCTTCGATTAAAAACTCTAATATGTCACAAAAGAGTATTTAACACAATTGATGACAAATTTTAAATTAATCTTTAAAATTGATTTAGGACTTTTCAAGCCCATAGCGAGAAGAACAAAATGAGGTATGGTTTGTCGATTTCTGAAAATTTATACCTCTATAATCAATCTACGAAGATAGTAGGAGCACGAGTGTATAGAATAAATTTCAGTTCAAGTTTTCTGATAATTAAGATATCCGATTCTCGATTTGGAGGTGTCATTTGAAAGCTTGGAGGACGAGTTTTCTACGTAGTAAATCTTATGAAAATTCAACGGTCGAATTTTGATTAGTAGCCTAAAAAAAACTAACTATTGATCAGTAGTTTTCTAAATACTGATCAAAATCTAATCGTTGGATTTCATAAGATTTACGCGTTAAAAAATTGGTCCTACAAGCTTTCAATTGACACTTCACAATCGAAAATCGGATATCTCGATTATCAGAAAACTTGAATAGAATTTTTTTCTATGCACGCGTGCTCCTACTATCTTCGTAGATCGATTATAGAGGTATCAGTTTTCAGAATTCGACAAGTCATACCTCATTTTGTTCGTCTCGTTATGGGCCTTGAAAGTCCTCAATCAATTTCATTGATTAATTTAAAATTTATCATTAATGAAACAAATTGTCAATTTCGATTATATTAGGAGGCAAACTGTCAAAAAATCAAGTTTGTATGGCAAACTCTAAAAAAAACATATTTTAGGAGGTTAAAAAAAATTCCTTATTTATATTTGGGGACATGGTATAAATTGCAAAACAAGCTAGTAATTCCATGGCAAAAGAAAAGTTGTGTGCAACCCACATAAGCATTACTTTAATTTAAACCAACACAAACTTCTTTTTATATATGCATAAATATGTAATCACATACATACACACTTAAAATACAAACTTTAATAAAAGGAAAAACAAAATGAACACAAGCCCATAAAACAAACCACCCAAACATCAAAAGAAACATCCCCAAGAAAAAAAGCACACAAATTATTTCAAAAGCCAGCAAATAACCAAACCACATGTCATGCTTTTCTTAATTAGTGGCACTCTTTTTCCTTCTCCTTTTCTTTTTCCTTTTCCTCATCACTCTTGGAGTGGTACCCGGGGAGCTTCTCCTTGATCTTGTCCAAGAACCCTTTCTTCTCCTTCTCCTCCGCCTCCGGCACGGCCGCACACTCCTCGGCTGGCGGCGGAGCCGCCACCTCCTCTGTCTTCTTGCCGCCGCCGGGAAGCTTCTCCTTGATCTTATCAAGAAATCCCTTTTTCTCCTCGGCATCATCGAACTTCTCCACCGGCACAGCCGTGTCCTCAGACTTCTCCTCTTCCTTCTTTTCTCCAGATATTTTCTCCTTCACCTTTTCCTTCAAACCCTTCTTTTTCTTCTTCTTTTCCCCATTTTCATCCACTTCTTCCTCGTCGCTCGACTGCACCATTAACCAATCAACAAAACCAATCAAACAAAACGATCAACAAACAAACAGACAAACAAAAAAATTGTACCCAATAATTAAACATCAAAATAGATTCATTTTCAGGAAAAAAAAAAAAAAAAGAGTAAACTAAATTTGCGCTACATAAACAAGCGTTATACACTAATTGAGATGCTTATTGAGAGGAATCGGTGCATGAATTAGGGTAACTTACAGAGCTGCTGGAGCTACTGCTCCGGTGAAGCTTCTGGAGCAAGCCCTCGTGCTTTTTCTCCTCCTCTTTCTTCTCTCCTTCTCCTCCACAGACCTCGACTTTTTGTTCGAACTCGGCCGCGATCGCCTCCTCCTGATCGCACTTCTTCTCCTCCTCTTTCTTCCCCCCGAAGCCAAAAAGGCCGCGGTCGCTGGCCTCCACCTGCGCCGGAGCGTACTCCTCCGCCTTGGGAGTGACCTCATCAGCCTTGGTCTCGTGGTGGTGGTAATTCACTTCATCGGCCATTTTAGAACCTTAAACAAATTGATGAAATATGAAAATACTTAAAGATGAAAGGCAATTGATTGAGATATATTGATGATTATTTTTTCTAGTGACTCTGTGATTTGTGGTTCTGAATGGATGAAGATGGGAACACAGGTCCCGGGTTTATATAGGAAAGTATACGCGTAATGGACGCTGAGGATCAATAATGCTAAGAAGCCAATTGTTGGTTTCGTTACGGAGCCAACAACTAATAGGACAACTCTATGTGAAGCTGTCCCACATGGCTCCAATGTGGGACAGCCCCACATGGAGCTGTATTATTGGTTGTTGGCTCCATAACGGAGCCAACAATTGGCTCCTCAGCATTCCTGCGCTGAGGATTACCATAATATTTTTTTTTTTTTTTAATTTCGGACAATAATAATAAAACTTTTCTTTGTTTACCTTTTTTGTGTTACAACTTATTACAAGAGCTGGCATGGCCCAAAAGGGACATAAAGCTTTTAAGGGCCAATCAAATGCTCCATCATCATCGTTACCATCCTTTTCTGACGTGGCAGCTTCTTGTTTGTGTGGAAAGATTTATAACTTAAAAAGACTAATATTATAGGTACTCCACCTGTTATGTACATCTTTATGTACATTTATTATGTACTTGTAGTATTTTCTTACTTAAAAATAGTCGTTAGTTTATAAATAAATAATTAGTAATCTAATAATTTAAATCTAATTTAACTTTAACTCAAGTGCACATTATCATCAATATTACTAATTTAATTAAATAATATCAATCAATATATTTACACGTCACACTAACTTTAAACCATGGCTAGTATTCAACCTCGTGCATTTGCAAAGATACAAATAGAGTATTATAAGTCATTTATATATGAATATATAATACAAATTACAAGTTAGCTAATGTTATTAAATTTAAAACATATAGTATTATAAATTATACTGATGCATATAATATTAAATTATATATTAGATAATTGTATTATGTTTTAAAATTTTATCATTGGTTAAAATAAATAGTATGTAACTAGTAAATTGCATATGAATCACTATATTGACTGCATAAAATGTAATGGATAATAGAATATTTGTAATTTTGAGGGATCATGATCAATTATTTTGCTGAAAAATATTAAGCTTGTTATAACAATTGCTTATGCGATTTCAAAGAATTTTACTAAGACATTAAAATAGAGTAATTTATTTAAAAAACAATCGTTTAATAAGATAAAATTTATAATATTGATTGAGAACAAATAGCTTGAACAAAATGTTTTACAATATAATTTTTGTATGTCTATATAATTTTCATACATTAATTAGTATAAAATATAATGATAGCTCTGATAATAACTATTACTAGTATTCTACATGTGCATTTGCACAAATGTAAATAAAATATTGTGGATCAGATGTAGCTTCCCTTTTGTTGTTTGTGCTTTATGTTTTTGTGTGGTTTTGGTCTGGGAATGATTACAGGCTAGGCAGTGTGCAGTGGCTCTGTTTATCATTTGCCTTTGTTTTCGTTTGTTGAGTTATCTAGGCCGCCTTGCGCGTCCTCTCAGTTTATGTTTTCTTGTGTTTAGGTGTGCTTTTGGTTTGGGCCGTTGGCCCCTGTACTATTACCCTGTTGGGGCCTTTCATTACTCTTTTGGGGTCTTGTAGTCTGTAATTTTGCCTTTGTGCTTTTAATAGATCATCTATCGTTTTGGAAAAAAAAAATATTGTGAGTTATTTGTATGCATATAATGATTAATTATTTTTCTTTCACGTTTTTGCAGCCAAATTTGCAGTTAAATGACTTGATTTTTTTGTTAAATTGCGTTTATTAGATTGAATGTAACGTATATTTTGGTATCTAATTTTTTTAAAATTATTTATAATTTATTTAGGAGTTTCATATACTTTTTTTTATTTTCCAAAAAAAATAATTTACATGTAACCATAATAATAATATCTAATCACATTATATGGTCACACATTATATGGTTAACTGTCAGTAATCAAAAGTTCAAAATGATTTTTGTATTTTAAATTGATTAGTGTATTGATTATCTATTAATTAGGTTAAATAAATGAAAAGTAACGGTTTTTGGGGGGAAAATGTAAAAGTGCCACCTAGGTATAATTTATGAGGTTTTCTTAAATGTAGAAGAGCTAGTAATTATATATATATATATAGATATGCTATAATATTATTAATAATATAATTATTACTCAATTAATATAAAATGTAACGATTTTTGTCCTAATTAACATAATCAGTTTTGGGAAAGTTAGGTAACACGTATGTATAATTTACGAGGTAAAATTTTATGAGATTTTGTTTAATGTGTTGTTAGTAATTTTATATATATAGATAATATAGTTTTAATTAATTGCAGCTAATGGTGTGCTAAAGTGGTATGTGATTTTATATATATATATTCATCCACGGCTGGTAAAATAAAATAAGAAAAAAAAAGAAAAAAAAAAGGTTTTGCCACGTCTGGTCGGATTATTATGATTACGGATGTTATTACACTAATTAATAAAAGAATACATTTAAATAATACGGCTTCGAGATAAAAAGTGCGAAGGGGCACTCACTCATTTATATCGTCGGCATTCTGTTTTGTAGTTTTCAGAAGCAAGTTGACAATTTTGATTTTGATTTTACAGTGACTTCTTTAAAACCAAGATGAAAATTATTTATATTTATCTACTAATTGAATAGTAAAAATACATAATTACACAAATTTATATAACCACATATGATTGTATATAATTCATTTCCGGTGAGTTCAATTAATGTTTAAATATATAAAAAATTAAAATAGATAAACATATTAATAAATTATTTATATATACTTTTTTAAGCTATTTATGTTAGGAAATATTTTATTTCCTATGTATAATCTAATTATGTGCAACATATTATATACAATTATATTATATTAGCTATTCAATTAATTAATAGACTCAATTAAGTGATCTAAATTAAGTAGAGTTCATGGGCTACATAAATTGATATGGATTTAATGAGTGGATACCTAATATTAGTAGGGTTAGGTGATAATGGGTGGCCTACCCTATTAGTATATATAGACCCTCGTGGTTATGGTCCCCAATACACTAAATCAAACATAGTTCTCTCTTCTCTCCATTGGAATTGAGAATGACGGTCCCATATGGGCGATTTAGTTGAGGAAGGCCATAAAACCGACATCGTTCGTGATCGAGGACGTGTTCGTGATCCAAGTCCATGGTGATCGGATCTATAAATTCACTTAAGGTACGCTTCCGCTATCTAGTTTGATTCTCGATTATTTAATATGAATACTCCTGGGATAAAGCGATGTTTTTCGCATAAGGTTAATTCCAACAATTTATTTATATATATTTTATCTAAGAAAAAACATGAATAATTTCAATTATTTACTTTAACTTATTTTCTGAAATAATATTTATTTTTCATCATTTTTGTGAGTTTTAGTTTTTCTAAACCAAAACATAAAGGTAAGAGAATTAACAATATTGTGTATTATTAGCAAAGTAATGACCATAACGCTAAATAACCACCCATGTAATAAAATGAATAAGAGACTGATCATTTTTTATTTTTATTTTTTTTGGTCGGAACGATAGAAAGACTGATCATTCAATATTCATATTATAACACATTATATTCAATTATTCATAAAGGTTATGACATAAAATTTATAATTTTAGGCTAGTAGTGAATTTTTTATTATTAGATCAAACACGTATCCCAAAACAGAGACACATATACATATATAATATCAACGATAAAAATATAATAATAAGCATTAAAAAAATATGACATCTATTAACAATTAATTAATGCTATTATTACTTCTATTCAAACAAGAATTCATCAGTTTTGCTGAATAAATATCAAATTATACCGATCTTATAATAATATTAATGTAATCAACGTAAATTAGGTAGATTCTAGAAATCCTATGCAGGAAATCCCAAAAAACACAACAATATTACATATAAGGTGTCATTTTCCATCCACGAGAACACGCAAATTTCACACAATCAATATAAGCAAATTCTAGAAATTACAAATAGCACAAATGAAATAAATATTATAAATTATTTGTATGTATGTAATAGTTAAATTATAAGTTAAATAATTTAAATTTAAAGCATTATAAGTTATATCTGTGCATCTAATATTAAAACTATAATTTAGATAATAGTATTATGTTTTAAAATTTGATTATTTGTTAAAATAAATAGTACATAATGATATGATTGCATACAAATCACTATACTGATTGCATAAAATTTAATAAATAATGAAACTTTATAATTTTTGAAGGATCATGTCCAATTAATTAGCTAAAAAATATTAGATTTAATTTAACAATTGTCTGCGATTTTAAGAAATTTTCTGTCACGTTAAAAAAAAAAACAATTTATTTAAAAAAAATCACGTAATCAGATAAAAAATATAATACTGATTTTAGAATAAATAGCTTAACAAAAAGTTTTTGCAATATAATCTTTTATGTTTATGTACCTTTCATATATCATTTAGTGTAAAATATAATTATTAATATTGATAATAACTATTATATGACTCAATAAAAAAATATAATTATTAATCAATTAACACAAAATATAACAGTTTTGTTTTTAATAAACCCAAAAAAATATAATTAAATATGTTTACATTAGATAAAATTGAATTAAATGCTAGCAATTATATATATATATATATATATATATATAGATAGATATAGATATTTGACGAAATGTTGAAAATTTAGTCATTTATACAAAATTATAAACTTATATTATGTGCATTTTGATTTGAGTTTCCTGAGTCAATAATCTCTAACAGACAGTTCATTATTAATCTTTCAATGTCAAACAATTTGTATTTGGAATAGTTAAATTTGAACTATAAAAAATGCCAAAACTTGATTCTCGATTGAACATATCAAATAGACTTAGATCTTCAAGAACACTTTTAAATGTTTAAA